GTTTTAGCACCTCTAGTAATATATTTACTGAGAAAAATGATGACTTGTTCAATACTTATTTTACCCGTTGTATCTCCAATAGTGGAGGACTGGTTCCAAAATTGTAAACTCTAGCTAGCAATAAACCAGAAAAGGTGGAGAAAATCATCTTTCAAAATTTTCATTTTCTAAATGACTTTTTGTGACTGGCCTGTTGTAGGTGTGGCCTTGGTTATGTTGGCATGATTACAAAGGTCASTTTCAACTTTCAATTAACTGCATTYRACCTGATCACTCTTCATGACACTCTGGAGTTTATCCATGGGACAAATCAATGGAGCAAACTTTGTGAAAGTTATTTCTTTGTGTCATATTCAAAATGTTTGTCCACAGGTGTACGTCCCAACCAGCAGTTTCTATATTTTGTGAAATGTAAAAATTATTAGCTGTAAAAATTATTACGCAAGCCATAATGATTATGTTTGAACACGTTCACTAAGTTATGGTTCATTCATTTTCTGGGTAACACACTTTTCATATAAAAATGTTGTTCAACTAAAAGTTCTTCCATGTCAGCAGCTATCCAACATGCAAACTGAATGGTTTGATCTGAAGGCTTGGAATATTTTCTGGAAGCATTCAGACTAAAGAAAACTTTACAAAATYCAGATTCGAACAAGGGTCAGAGAAAAAGATCCAAAATTCCACTGCAGACAAAAACACTTTCAGTCATATTTAATTTAACTGTTTATTACTTTACATTTATACAAAAACAATCTCCACATCTCTCATCCGTCATCAGTCCTAACCAAACAGTAAAATCAGATCTGACTTTCAATTATTGTCTGGAAGCAAAGCTGATGTACCTTCCTGCCATTTCACACAATAACTAGTTACTTAAATAAGTTAAATAAAAGCAGCTTAACCTTCAGATGTAATATAGTTCTGTTTGTATTATTGTGAAAACTAACTTATGTACCATCTGAACCTTCCAAATCATTTCATACTGTCCCTCTTYACAAATTTACTCTTTTTTATGTTTTCAGTTCATTAATATTTTATTCCCTTTGTGTACTGTCTGTTAGTGCTAAATTGAATTTWAAGTAAAATGTGGTGTTTTTATCAGAAACTCTTCAGTTCTAACCTGAATCGTCTGGTTCCTGCTCAGATAAACAGAAAAGTCCTAACATCACTGAGAGTCTACAGGTGGTGTTTAGTCCTGAAATCAGTCATGTATACATGTTTTACAYAAGAACATGCTTATTCAGGTTTAGTTGTGTGTAATTAGTGATAGACACCAAATGACTCGTTTCAACATTACAAACACGAGCTTCCTATTCTGATCAACCAATAAGAATCACGCCAGCTGTGGTTCAGGTAAGGATCTGTCTGTGGATGAAGGTCTGTCTGGGTCACTTGCTGTGCTGCAGGTACTGCTGGGTGAACATGTTGAGCTCACTGTCCAACCAGCCCGCCTTGTTCCTAACAAACACACAGAAACAAAACACAATCCACATTTACCCACAAAGAGCTCAAAGAGTTCAAACACAGGAACAGAACSAAAACCCCTCTGTGGAAGTCAGCTGTTTGTGGTCAAACAGAAAACAAAATAATTTTAATGACCTTGGTTTAAAAACAAGGAAAACATCTGTTCAACCAGCTCTGGGGTCTCATTTATAAAGGATTGCGTGGAAACCATACTAAAAGTGAACGTACGCCCAAAAGGCAGAAATGGCGTAC